AACCCAGAGGGTCCCCAGCCGTCCACTCTGGTCGCCAATATCAGCTTGCAGGGACGTGTAGCTTTCCTTAACATAGAGAGCTACCCCCTCGCCCCTTTTCTCTACACGATCCCTCCTGTACAGGGTATACCCATCTATCCCCGTGGTCCAGTCATGGGTGGCGTCCCACCAGGTCTCCGTTATCCCTATGACATCGTAATTGTTTGCACTGAGCATGAGGATGAGCTCCTCCTGCTTATTCCCCAAGCTCCTGGCATTAGTGTACAGGCAGGCAAGTGCCCCCGGGGGGCTCCTTCCTTGCACACAGATTTTACCAGGGCTGGGGCAGGGGTGGGCTCCCTGAAGTGCCCAAACAAATAACATATAATGCATATATATATGCATATATATAACGCATATAACAAATATATAATTTGTTATACGCGAGGTAAATTCACTCCTAAACAATCAGCATAGATGCCCACCCAAGCAGGTAAGTCTGTGGGGTGGGGTGGAAAAGGGCTGTGGCCCCACTCACCACAGGCCCGGCTGCAGCGGCCCTGGGAGCGGGCGGTGCCAGCTGCCCACAGCCGCCGGGCTGCACCGTGCTCCGCCTGTTCCCCTGCACCTGGGCTCACCCCAGCTCCTGAGCTGTGCCATGCCATGGTAGAGGCAGCTGGGGTCAGCTGCTCCTGGAGCCACTCCAGCATGGGCTGGGGTAAGTATGGACAAGTGGAGCCCCAGGCAGCGCGGGGCGCAGCACTCACCCCAACCCCGGCTGCAGTGGTCCTGGGAGCAGCTGACACCAGCTGCCTGCACCAGGGCACCATGCAGCCCAGGAGCAGAGGTGAGTGGGGACAGGTGGAGCACAGTCCAGCCCAGCAGCTGCAGGCCACCAGCACTGGTCGCTGCAGCTGGGGTGAGTGCCGCTCTGTTCCCTCCACTTTGCTGCCCTGTGCAGTCCTGGGAGTAGCACCCCTCCCCCTGCTCCTTCCCTAGTCCCTCCCTCCCTCCCTGCCATGGGAACCTCTCTCGATTTGTTACATTGTAAAGTGGGTTCACTTTATTCCAATTTGATTTATGCGCCATTCTCCAGAAACGCATGTATAGCATAAAATCAAGGGAAACCTGTATTTCAATTTTGGTTGACAGCCTTATACCTTGTTTTGAACTAAGAGCTTTTATTTAGGAATAGCGAAGGGAAAGTATTTGAAAGTATTATTATAGTAAAAATGTGTCTCAGCTGAACAAAATAATTCACTGGTCTTAGAAACACATTATATGCATCCCACAAAAGTTTACATCAGACTTTAAATTTACTGGTCTAAATTTATCCATGCTGTAACACCGGGTTAAATATTCAGCAGTGGTTACTTTAGCAATATTACTTTAATTGAGACCATTGTGATTATATAATAGAAAGTACTTACTACAAACCTAATGAAAAGCCAATAAACTTCAGTTACTAAAAATAGTATTATATTTATTTTGAAATTATAGATATTTATAAACAGGCAGTGTTCTTTAAAATAGTGATTTTCCCACAGTATAAACAGAGACATCTAAAAAGATTTAAATTTTGTTGTACCGCAGCCTTAGCTTTCCAAATGTATTTGTTGTGAAACAGTCATAGTTGCAAAAAAATGTAGGTAGGAAATACACACTAGCAATATACTACCTGCACATTAAATACTGTATGCTGAATATTGGAGCTAAATATTTAAAATTACCTACCTTTTTAAGAAGCAACACTTGAAGCTTCAGATGAGTAGACAAGCAATGCGTAACCACGAAGACAGAAGGACAACTTTAATCCCAATAATCTACTTAGGTTTTAAAGCGCAGCCTCTGCTTTCTTACTGTATGCTCCAGTT